TGATAAAATTGTATCGTTGTAGATAGCATTAAGATTTTTGATTTCAAATTTGATTTGAGCATTATTCTTTTTGAGTCCTAACTTATCTTTGGATTTATATAATGTTTCTTTAACCTAAGAAGTTGTTTGAGACAAGGAGATGAGAAGCGGTCGAGGCGTTTAAGTAGTGTTTGTTTTGGGACAGCATATATCAAGGCAAAACTTAAGATAATCCGTTATATTGGCAATTGTATCATCTAATGAACTTTCATGGAATAAATCCCAGTTAGTATTTTGTAACATGCTCCTTAGATTGAGTAAGCGTTCGGATTAGTAGCATCTTTGTTGTGCTTTCATAGACAGATGCGGGAAGACTTTAATATGTGTTTTGCTGTATATTTTTGGTAAAACACGAACAATAGAGTGATCAGAGTTGAGGATCGTTGCACGTTTACGTGCTTCATAGATTCCTTGGTCATTTTGTAAAAACTAAATCAAGTGTTTTGTCTAGTCGAGTGGGAAATTTGACAATGTTAGAGTGACCAAGTGCTTCAAGGAAGGAGCAATCTGACGAGTTGAAGTCCCCAGTAATAACAGATAGAGAGTTATCGAAGTTGGCGGCAGCAAACATGGTGAATTCATCAGCAAAATTTGAAAGATTAGATAGTGAGCAACTAGGAGAAATGTACGTGTTTGTAACAAAGATATGTTCATATTTGGGGAGATGTTTGGGACGGCATTTGACGGTAATACAGTCTATGAAGTCATTTGATAATGAGAAGCAAATATTATTTGAAATAGATCATTTGGAGTGAATGAAAGTTGCAACGGCGCCACCATTTTTCTTATTACAACATTGTCGGTCTTGTCTAAATAGGATGAAGTCCTTTAGTGAAATGAGGTTGTCATCATACAATTCATGTAACCACGTTTCTTGTAATGTGATTATGGCAGTATTATGATAAGTGTCAGTGGACATCAAGGATTGTAGGTACATTATTTTGTTTTTCAGGGAGCGGCAGTTAGTGTTCATTATGACAGGGACCGTAGTTAAGTGTATTGGTGTACATTTAGGAGCTCTCTGCCAGCCACTACGATGCTTCCTCCTTGATTTCTTGGGAATATGAAAGTTTTTGGGTAGTAAGTGATTAATAAATTCATATAGGAATAAAACTTGTGCACTGTGGTAGAGTGTAATTCCATTATGGGCAAATTTTGTTTCGACAAAATCTCACAGTGTTATACCGTAATATTTACTGATGACGTTTCGAGCACAATTTATTGCTCATAATCATATCAAGGTAATATGATATGATTATGAACAATAAATTGTGATCGAACAGTAAACATTACTGTATAACACTGGAAGACTTTATCAAAACAAAATTTACCCATTATGGAATGATTAATAAAGTTGCGAGAGTAAGTGTTCCTGTTAGAATTCATATTTAGGTGATAAATAAAATGGAAGTAAACGGTAGGTTGGATGCAATATGTAGTATTATAATAGCAGGCCCAAAAATTCGAACAGGCCGTTAAGTTCAAGGTTAATAAAGTTTACAGTTTACAATTTATTTAGGATAGTAGGCTAAATGCCTGTGTTAATCCTTTCGATTTGTTATACATAGGAGGTCCAATCTCGCCTTGAATGAATCAACGGATGGCGCTGATACGACGTGTTCCGGTAGGGAGTTCCAATGGTTCACAATCCGGATCTCCAAACGCAGACGATTCGACCGTGGTTTCTGAACCTTGAGGTGATGTACACGCAATTGGTTGGTGCTAGAAGGAAGAAATAAATTAGATAATTTAGCTCCAAATTCATTTCTTAGGATACGGTATGCTAGTATTAGGTCACCCCTAAGTCGTCTATATGACAGTGGAAATAAACCCAGTCGACTTAACCTCTCCTCATATGAGAGGGTTTGGAAACCCTTTATTAGATTAGTTCCTACTCTTTGCACCCTTTCTAATAAGTCTATTTCGTATTTGAAACACGGGATCGCTGCCTGGATCCCATATTCCAAATGAGGTCTGATATAAGTCGGATATAATATACGAAATATTTCAGCGTCAAAATTCGCAAAAGCTTTGCCTATGGCCCATAATATTCGAAAACCTTTAGTGGCTGCAGCTCTACAGTTTGTTGCTGTTTTCAAGTCATGCTGCACAACCACTCCCAAGTCCCTGTACTCAGTGACCACTGGAAGAGTAATGCCATTCATTGAGTAATTGTGCACGTGACTATGAGATACATGCATAACTACACCCTTGCTTAAGTTAATCTCCAAGGCCCAGTGCTTACACCAATCACTTAACAAGTTTAAATCTTCCTGCAAAGCAAGTTCATCACTGTCATCGTGTAAAGCCCTCCATATCTTGATGTCGTCAGCAAACAGTAAGCAGGATGACCTAACTACCGATGGAATCCCATTAACATAAATCAGGAAAAGAAGTGGGCCATATATGACCTTGGCGGCCTGTTTGAATTTTTGGGCCTGCTATTATAATACTACATATTGCATCCAACCTACAATTTACTCCAATTATTTATCACCCAAAAATGAATTCTAAAAGGATCAATTACTCTCGCAACTTTATCATTCATTTACGACCCAATAACTTTCATATTCCCAAGAAATCAAGGAGGAAGCATCGTAGTGGCTGGCAGAGAGCTCCTAAATGTACACCAATACACTTAACTACGGTCCCTGTCATAATGAACACTAACTGCCGCTCCCTGAAAAACAAAATAATGTACCTACAATCCTTGATGTCCACTGACACTTATCATAATACTGCCATAATCACATTACAAGAAACGTGGTTACATGAATTGTATGATGACAACCTCATTTCACTAAAGGACTTCATCCTATTTAGACAAGACCGACAATGTTGTAATAAGAAAAATGGTGGCGCCGTTGCAACTTTCATTCACTCCAAATGATCTATTTCAAATAATATTTGCTTCTCATTATCAAATGACTTCATAGACTGTATTACCGTCAAATGCCGTCCCAAACATCTCCCCAAATATGAACATATCTTTGTTACAAACACGTACATTTCTCCTAGTTGCTCACTATCTAATCTTTCAAATTTTGCTGATGAATTCACCATGTTTGCTGCCGCCAACTTCGATAACTCTCTATCTGTTATTACTGGGGACTTCAACTCGTCAGATTGCTCCTTCCTTGAAGCACTTGGTCACTCTAACATTGTCAAATTTCCCACTCGACTAGACAAAACACTTGATTTAGTTTTTACAAAATGACCAAGGAATCTATGAAGCACGTAAACGTGCAACGATCCTCAACTCTGATCACTCTATTGTTCGTGTTTTACCAAAAATATACAGCAAAACACATATTAAAGTCTTCCCGCATCTGTCTATGAAAGCACAACAAAGATGCTACTAATCCGAACGCTTACTCAATCTAAGGAGCATGTTACAAAATACTAACTGGGATTTATTCCATGAAAGTTCATTAGATGATACAATTGCCAATATAACGGATTATCTTAAGTTTTGCCTTGATATATGCTGTCCCAAAACAAACACTACTTAAACGCCTCGACCGCTTCTCATCTCCTTGTCTCAAACAACTTCTTAGGTTAAAGAAACATTATATAAATCCAAAGATAAGTTAGGACTCAAAAAGAATAATGCTCAAATCAAATTTGAAATCAAAAATCTTAATGCTATCTACAACGATACAATTTTATCATGCAAATCTCCTGTCAGCATGCGGAAAATTTTTAATGAAATTACCGGCAATAGTAAGCGTTGTAGTGCTTTTCCCTCTTATGATGTTAATGCTCTTAATCAGTCTTTTATACGCTGTCCTTCTACTTTAACTACTTCTAATGTTACCTATCATTTAGC